CTGTTTGCATGTGTAATGAATTGAGCGTTTGTAGGTCGATTTTGCTCTGTTGGCCCAACAGCTCAGACAGTTTGTCGCCCGGCATAGTGCCGCAATGACGCATATAGTTGGACAGCTTGTTGGCTGCATTTGGCAGGTGAATTTGGGGCGTGTTGTCTTATGACCTTCTATGTAACGGACGAAGAAACAGGAAAAGGTATGCATGCATGCATGTGTTTGTGTGTGTGTGTATGTGTGTAATATTTTCTGTTTGCTTTTACATGCAAGCTGCTTACAGAGCTTTTGATTGTTTGCCAGCGTCGAGTATGTGCAACGAAGTTATTGAATCTTACAAGTACTTACCTACACATATACATACATACATACATACATACATATCTACTTAACTGACATAACATTGACACAAGCAACAATTTGCAGTTATTTCAATTAAATTAACGGCAAGTTTAATATTTTGTGTCGCAATATGAACTAAAATTGAATTTTTATAAATGTTTTATCGAAGCATCATTCGAAGTTTATACATAGAAGCCCATCGATTGCTTGCTGGAGCTTAGGTTTTTGAATATGCTTTTGAAACTGTCCAATAATCTAGCGAATGGCGTTGCAAAAATGAACCAAGGCCCAAAAAACAACGCGCCATGGGTGCACTGAAGGTACTGAAGGTCATCACGAGGCTCCGAGGTTGGAAATTGAGCTAAACGTTCGTATGCTTGTATTGGCTTAAAGAGAGCCTACATGTTTTGAAGGCGATAATGAAAATTTATATTAAAATACTTAAAATTTGATCAGATGGTATTTTCTTAAAGTAAATATTTTTTGTTGTGAACACTTTTTTTACAATTCTTCTCTTCTTTCAAATTTTGCATATACTCGAGGCAGACGGTTTTCACAAAAAATCCTTTACATTTGATTTAAATTTCTATAAATCAAGTTCTTCTTCAAGTTCTTGACAATAATTTCTTTTTGAATTGGTAATATATGGATCAAGGACCAAACATCAATAATTTCTATTGCATTTGTGGTTGGAGGCCTCTGTCATTTTACTTGTTTGGAAAGTGCTTTTCTCTTTAGAATAGCACTCCTATTTTTCAAGATATTTTCGGCAATCACGAAGGGCTTCGAGATTATTAACACTAGAACTAGTCAAAATGACCGGTTGCATTATTTATTTCTACCATTTCCTCTTTATTCCTATTTAATATTTTACGATAATGTCATGATTTTTATTAAATTTGTGTATAGAATAATATTATGAATAATTTTGTTCTTACGCTTCTAATTTTCAGAGAGAGAGAGACCTATTTGAAATAGGTATATGGTACAGTACGTAGTTCTAGTGTCAAAGTGAATTTTTTTTTTACTACAATTGTTCCTTGGTCTGTATTATAATATTGAATGTTCGACCAGTCAGAAGTGGTACCAAAACCTGTTCTGATTTGTGTTAAACTACATTAAACACACCACGGTAGTAATTATGAAGTTGGGATGACAGTGGGACCGATACAGGAGTCCTCTATTTGATGAAACCTATAGTTGAGGTTTCACAAATTCTTTTTTTGTTAGCTTTTTTGAGCGACCAAAATTTCGGCAAAATATTCACTTCGAAATATTTAACTCATATAACTTAAAAGTCGGTAAGTAGTTAATTTTGTTAGTTTCGGAAGATTGAGTAAATATTTCTTGTCAGCTATTGCAACTTATACTATATAAGAGTATATGTTAATTACATAGAGTACATTTCAATATTTTTGCTTCTATAGAGACTTGCTTGGGCTGAGACATAACGGAGTAATATAAATTTAGGGGTCTTATTAAAAATTTATGATGATGCATCCTTGTTCGATTTGTATAGCCTTGAGCAGATTAGTGATATCGTAGCCCTTGCATTTTCAAACTTAAATCTAACCACCACCATGACTCGTAGTCTCCGTAGCACGTTTACCTTATTTTAGAATCCCTAAATTTCCATCGAAAAAAAAAAATTACTTCAAAACCTCAAACGGAATTCATGAAAAATTTTTCAGATTTGTATAGTAGTGTTTTTTTCGAATTCCGGAAAGCTTCCGCTTGTATGTGTGCTTCCGCATGTATCGGTGAAATCATTAGCCTTGGCAAGTTTGTGTCAAAGTCAAGTTGTATTAGTTTTTTATATTCTTGGGAAAATTGGTTGAGCTATTTGAACATTAACTGAATATATAAGTTACTGCAGATATTTATGAAATAATATTATATAATATGACTGAATTACTTTTTTACAAGAAGTAAAATTTTTTTATGGTTCTCATGCTCCCTATTTCCTTCGAAAGTCACTGAAAAAGCCTTTGATTAAAAATAAGCAGAGGACTCAAGATATACGATACATATTAATACCCAACATATATACAAGTATATGTATATGCATGTACATGTATATACATAAATAATAGTCGCAATCAAATAGATAGTCATTATTTTTTATTTTATATCATGATATCTAGACATGTCTCTGATTTTTCTTTAACGCTATTGTTGGCCATATATGCGTCGAAATCCCCACCCACAACGAATTGCTTGCTCCATTTACATGATCATAAAAGGTCTTCGCTTTACGAGATGGCCTTTAATGCAATTAGAAAAATGCTTAGTACATACTTGTGGGAAATTTTTTGTTTCGTTCCGCAAATCGATTCGCCGAAAAGCTATTTTACAGCGTCAGCTATTTTTGAAAATCTCAAAAGTGCGAAAACATCAAAGAACGGTGCACACAGACGAACAAGCGGATACAAATAACAATATACAAAAGAAAATAAATCTTCAAATATAAAAAGGAATTACATACAGACATATGTGTATGTGTGTGCGCATGTGGAGCTATTGTATTTCGAACAAAAGATGGCAACTGCAATGTGTAAAAAAAATGAAGTAGGGATGTTAGTGGTTGCGGTTCTAAATAAAAAATTTGAAATTAAAAAGACTTAAGATTATTTAAAAATTGCATTATTTTGTAGTTATTTATGTAGTTTGAATTTTATTTAAAAAATTTTTAGGTGGCAACCCTTTTAAAATAATTTTGTAGTTAAACTCTACTGATGTCATACAAGTCTTTCGTGCTTTAAGTAAAATAAGTATTTTTTATTTTTAATTATTCAATGCGGTTGGCAATTCTATTTTTATAGTTATAAAACTATTTTATTTTTTTGTTTTGGTTTTAATTGGTAATATTTTATATGATATATAATATAATTTTAATTTGCAAAATTTTATCAATAAATTTCGTTACTTGAAATTAAAAAACTGTGGCAACTCTGTTTTGAGGAACTCGTCTATATATCGGCAAAAATTTATGTAGTGTTATGCTCATTATAACACAAAATTGTGCAAAAACTAAATATCACTAATTAGATTACTAGATAGTATATAGACAAAACATAACCGGGAAAGCTCCCATCAGATACCCTTGATAAAATTGCAAGTTTTTCGAGTTTCAGCAATAAATACCCTTCACGCCAATATATGGTATAAAATTATACACAGTTATGCAAATGAATGAGCACACCTATAGATAAAGCGACCACAACTACAACAAAAACAACAACAATGAAAACAAAAGCTACAAACACAGCCCGAAGTTGAAACAACAGCGATCACAACAAACTTAACGAGATGCCAAAATAGCAAAACACCAAAACAACCAACAATAAAATAAACGCTATGCGCCGGAAAACTTGAAAACATACACACAACACACAACAACAACAAGAAAAGAAACGTTCACACGAAAGGGAGGAAAACCGCCGCGACTCGCTCGCTGCATTGCTCTGCTTGTAAACAAATTGTGTGGCGACGGAAAACTAACCAAGGCTGCCTTTTGCCCCGGCGTATACTCGGAGCCCGTCCCATAGCCGTATACTCGTAGTAGTATGCGCGAGAGAGCGGTGGTCGGATTTGTAATTGTTGCTGCAGCAGTAAAATAACAAATCGTAAAAGTTGCGTGTGGGCCACCTTTGTGCCAAAGCGTATTTGATTCCAGATAATTGAATTTAATTGCAATTCGTTCGCAGAATTCGAAGCTGCTGAATTCAAAGCGGAACAAATGCGCGTCATCTTGCGTTAAGCCAAATACTCTTGACGATTGTAGCAGCTGAGTATTACATAAGTGGTGTGTGTGAAGAAGTGAAAGTATCTACATTTCATTGTACTATGTGCCACCCACTCTGTTTGTTGGAATTTGTGGAGGATGGCTGACTTGGATTATGTATGGTTGCGTTCTATAGCCTTGATGCTCAACCGAAAAAACTGCGATTTTTTTAAGTTTTTCGGTTTTAGTTGTTTCTTGTGGCAAAGTCGGTTTGAAGTCTTGCTCACCTTGATGTTGTCAATGCTCCAAATGACATCAAAACTCTTGCAGTTAAATATTCAATATTGTTTAGTATTCGCTGAGATTAAAGCGCCAAAGTCTAAATGTCTTACTGCTAATTATACCCTGAACAGATTATATTCAGTTCGCCTCGAATTTTATAACACTCAGAAGAATACGTCGGAGACCCTATGAAATATATTTATAAATGATCACCATAACAAACTGAGTCCATTTCCGCCTGTCTGTATATACGCGTCTCTCAGTTTTAGAAAAATCGTAAAAAGTTTTACACACGCCCTGTGCACCCCAGACGCTGCTGCTTTTTTGGAAACGCCGATATCGGACCACCGTAGCATAGAGCTGTCTTATAAACTGAACGGAATTAAGTGCTTATATGAAAAGCTTTTTGGTTTGACGAGATATCTTTTCGCATGGATTATTACCTTGGCAGTGGTGCAATCTCCGAAGAAATTGTTCACATCGGATAACTATAGCATATAGTTACCGTAGAAACTGAACGATCGGCATTAAGTGCTTGTATGGGAAACGCTTTTATTTGACGAGTTATCTTCCTTATTTATTACCCTGAAAGGTTGCCTTCTCATGCATTTTTTCACTATAAATGATTTCTCGAGATCGAAATACTTATCACCAAAATGGCTACATTCGCTATATTAATGATTTTTTCCACTTATTTAAATATTATATACATATTTTATCTTATAACACATTCGTATGCTTAATAATACAAGATTAGTTCGGAACAGTATTATTAACAGACGAAGAGGTAGTAGCTTTCATAGCCTGAGAACCCATAAAGCATGGTAATGATGTTATATGTGTCAATGATAGGGCCGACTTTTGGTTTCGACAGAGAAATTTCCTCCTTTATAAGACTGAATCAAGTCAGTTTTTGATACCGTGTCCTGATGTGAACCGTATTCCAGTGAGGGCGTTCTGCATTGATCGTAACAAATATTGTAGTAGTTATAAGGGGCAAGGTCTGGGCTATAGGGCGGGTGAGAGAAAACTTCCCAGCCGCTGTTTTCTAAATAGTTTTTAACTAGTCTTGCAATGTGAGGCTGGGCGTTGCCATGATGGAAAATTATTGTCTCATGTCTAGTCGCAAATTCCGAGCGTTTTTCGGCAAATTCTTCGCTTCAATTTGTTGAGTTGTTGTCGGTAGTGTTATCTATTAATGGTTTTACTCGCTTTCATAATACAGCTCTTCTGATCTCACCAAATACAAAGTATTACCTTGGTGTGAGGGATATTCTTCTTAATCGTTGATTTGGCTGGTTGGCCAGATTTCTCATATGATTTTTGGCTTTTAAGGTTTTCGTAATGAATTCTTTTTGTCTTTCTTTTGATCTTCTTTTTTACGGTTATTTGAAAACGAATCATACGCCAGCGACCCTTAGAACATTTAGAAGCCTAAATGAATTGAAGGTTTTTAGTGTGGACGTGCATACTTAGTTGTATTCAAAAAAAAAAAACAGCTCAAATCATTAGTAAATGGCTGAATTAAATAAAAATAGCTCAAATATAAAACCAGATAAGTTTTTTCAAAGTTATTCACGTTTGTCAATTGTTTTGATATGTATATAATAAATCCATTATTTCAAAAAAAAAAAAGCAAAATAATAAATCTTTCAAAGTTTTAATGGATCAAATAAATGGCTCACCGCGCATCAGTTTTGATTTCAATATTGTCCAACATGGATATTTTCACAGTTTTTAAATTAATATTTTCGTTATTTTGAGATGTGGGTGTATATAAATATTCAAACGCACGCAATATCCCATAAGATAGCTATAGAAAAAAATTGTTTGCATTCCACGAAACTCACAGCTACTCGTAGAGGTGAGGGGTGTGGTAAGTGCCTTCTTGCTTGTATTGTTTTAGGCCGAATCTTCGAATAATATTAATGAAATGAATTGCGACAGCAAGTCGCCGCTGCAGTAGTTAGCCGCACCACCAACGATTTGAAGTTTTGTTGTTTATTGACGTTGCGTGGATTGGAGAATTCAAATTTGAATAGATAGACGGAATCAATTAGCATTTTGCGCCAGTTTTCGAAGTCTCTTTAGGATTGCGCTATAAGAAAGTGCGATGATTGGCTAAGCCGCCATCTCCCCCTCTTTGACAGCAATCAGTGATTTGGAATAACAAACAGCCTCGTTCCTAAATCCATAATGACGGTGTGCTATGCTCTGCTATACTGTGCTATGCTTTCCCATTCAACTTCATTATAATTCTTTTCATTTCAATCTTTTGTATTAAAAAGTTGATTTTAATTTATTTTCGTAAAATGAAAATTAGCTCACTGATTGATTTGTGTGGCTTAAGTAGTCAGTAATTGGACAGATTGGCTCACGCTCATGTTATTTAATTGACATTTTTTATCGAATCATTTTTCGTAGGCATTTTCATTTGTTTATGTCAATATTATTTTTAATCATTTTAGTTTTTGGGTTTTATTTTTGTTATTAAAATAATTTAGAAATTTTCTATAATTGTTGGTGGACGAAATAATTGAAGTATATATAGCAAAATATTATGTTGAAAGCTTACCATTAATCATGAAAGGTATTTTTTTTTTTAGAAATTATATGCTACATGCTTTTTTTGACAACAGCAGAATTGTTTAGTTTCGCTGCTGTAATTGGCGTCGAAGATTTAGTCTACTGATGCTTTCTCAGTAATATTATGTTATGTTTAGTGGAGTCAAATGCTTCGGATAGTTTATGATCCTTGGAGTGACTAGAATTACATTCTTAAATATTTTTTTTTGGTTTTCTTTTATAGAAACTCTTTCTTTTTCTGGTATTAAATCTGGATGTTCTCCATTCTCCGTTCTATAACACTAACCTGGGTTCAAAAAGACCTAATTATCACCAACCACAGGAATATACGCAAAATTAGTCGCGTTGAGCAGAAATTGGCTCGCAACAAACTCGTAGCATTTGAGTCATTGACATTTCGTATTATTTTTGTCAAACAGGTGATCTGAAATCGCAGTTATTAAAGCTACTGCATTGGATGGTCGTTCGTATAATTTTTTTTTTTTTTTTGCAACTAATGTACCTCGTCGTCCATATTTAGGGTTTCTATTCTAGAGGATAATCAATATCTTTATAAGAATACTAATGAAGAACTCAATTACAATTGCTTGCACTAATTTTTTCAAGAAAACTTTTGCTAATGCCTTTCATAAGGACAAGCACTATTGGGAGATTATAAATAGAGCATTATCACCACATTAAATAGAGACTAAAACCGCAAAGGTGAATAACAAACGCATATATTTTTGATTTCGGACGTATTAAGGATATAGAAAGGATCAACTGAGCTGGTTATTTCCAAAAGAAAATTTGAAATTTTTTGTACTATTTGTTTGAACAGCCATGCTTTGGTTTCTGTCGCTGTCGAAATCTTAACATTTTGAAAATCATCTACCAATGTGTGGATAGCTTTTGTCTACAGAGTGAGATCTTTTGTTTTGAGAATTACATAATTTTAGGGTCGTTTAGAGAGTCTGTTTACACGACGGTCATTCAACGTAAGTGAACTGCTCCGACGGACTGGCGGTAACAGACCAGATGTAGATTATTTGGGGCTCCGAAATGTAGCAAAGTAGAGTATTCAGAACGTAAAGCATGTGCGGAGGATTATGATATGCTAAAACAATACCTCTGTGAATGACCAGCCTTCTATCGGTTCACTCGGGATATCTTCCACGGCTTAAAATGTTCCAACTTAAACCAGTTCTTGTGGAAAAAATCAAATAATTTCTATCTAAATACGTTGAGTTGCTGAACTGGGCTTAATTAGTTACAACTTGGGAGCACAATTTCTAAGAATGGCTTAAGGCCTGACGCCAGCGGTTAGGCGCTGCTCTGCCTCATTTTTTAAACAACCAACTAACCATAAACAACTGTTAGATGAGCAAAATTAAACAACTCTGCATAACATATTCCGACGGTATAAATATTTCAAAACTAGATGTTTACGAATAATCTGTATTAACTGAAATATATTAATACAAGAAATATTTATATCGATATAAATTCCGCTTCTGTATAGCATATATGTTTGTAGATGCGTATATATGTAAATATGTTATAAACTTGTATATTTGTGCATTAACAAATAGCTACAAACCACCGCTATTAAGGTAAATCAGCAACGACAGCGAAGACACCTCCTAAACCAAAACGTCTATAAATTATAAGAAAATCCACACAAATCAAAAGTGAAAACGAAAAATATTTTTCCGATAAAAATAACCGTAAAATATTTATTTTGAATGTGGGCTATTGCATGTGTGTGTGTTCGCTATTACTTGCATGTACATATGTGTGAGTGAGTGTATTTATTTATGCGCATGTTATAGTGTTTTTGTAATACTCTTTTGCCTTGCTCACACAAACAAATGTGGTTTGATATTAAAATGTGTAAAAGGTTAAACGGAGCACGTGCACAAACACATACATATAAACATAAACACATCTATATATATATAAACATACACATATATGTACATAAGTAACTAACGAATCAAATGGCAATATGATGGTGAAAACATGCCAAAGTCGGTGCAGATGTGGCAAAACTAGAAACTAACAGATAGTAACAAAAACAACGCCTGGGCGCCACATATATTACCACCAGCAAAAGCAGCAGTCAGCCAAAAAGCAAAACTTTCCACTGACTGATCAGGCAAGCAGCAAAAAAGGCGAAGTAGAAGAAGAAGATAAGATGAAAAAAAGTCACGCATACGCCCTGTTGGCACAAGCTTTGACGCTGTTGCTGGTCGCTGTGTTGTGTGTGATGCCAACAGGCGGGGTGGTGGTGCATTTCGCACAGCAAGCCCTCACGTGCCCAGTTTTGGGTTAAAACGCAACGTGTAAGCCAAAGTACGTGTGCGCCACGGTATAGTGTGTATGTGTGCTTGGCGAAGTGAAAATTCATTCTGCAGATATTTGAATATCCATTAGAAGCCAAGTGATAGCAAGCCAAATGCGTAGTGTGTGCGTCTGTGTTGGCTGCGAAGTGAAGCTTTGTGGTTCTGGTGAAAACGAAATGTGTGGTCTAGTGTAAATGACAGTACGCGGAAACGAATTGAAAAGCCAAAACTGCTAAACAAGCTCGCCACGCCATCAGTGACGCCGGGAAACGCTATGAGTATGAGCATTTCTTGGCGTTACAATTTTTTATGTTTCTTTTCACTTGCTTGTGAGTTATGACATATGCATCCACATTTGAATATGCACTCGTGTCACATCTACGACTCACCACCACAAAGTGTCGTCGCAATGCATTGGCATTTCGATTTTGCCCGAAATGTACGAGTATCTCCGCTGAGCGCACTTTGCTGCTTTGTCGCTGATTGCGTTCAACTGGCAGCAATTTGGCTAAAATGTTTACATTTCTCCTTAAGTAAAGTTATAAAATGAAGGCATGTATTTGTGTATGCGTATTTGGTTAGGTGAGGTGAGGTGAGGTGTCCCTCCTTTCGCCGCTCTGCCTCTGTTTGCTTTTGCCAATGGAAATATTTTCATTTATCCCCATATGAATCACAGCACGCACTTAGACTTTATTGTGAAGCGTTTTGAAATTTTGAACGAAAAATAAATATAGATAATAAATGCGCATACGATAAATACTCATGTTACCGATAACATTACTTATAGTTATATACTGAATGGAGTAGATACACGAAGTAGTTTTTGATATATCGCTTATAAATTTTGATCACGTTATTTTCTTCTCAAGAAGCTGCTCATTTGTCGAAACCTCCGATATCAGAGCACTATAGTATAAGCTGCTATACAAACAGATCGTTCAAAATCCCCATAAACATTTTTTTATACCCTTTTATGCTACAAGAAATGCACCTGTGATTGGTATTATAGCTACGGTACGCTGCCTAAGTTAACATTTTCACTTGTTTTTTATGATTCAGCGTCAAAATGTGAACAAAAATTTTTAGCTCTCTTAGCTAAATAATAGCTAAAGCCATTCTTTATCTATTTGTAAAAAAGTTATAAACCTTTCTTGTTCTTGTAGCCACAGAAAATGCTCCGACCGTCGTGAGAACTTTAACGACATAATATAGACCTTGTATTGAAGACGATGAGTTATCAGAGAATATTTTTTCACCGGCTGAACAAATTCTCCGTCACTGTCGATTTCTTCACATTTTGAAAATCGTCTACCGAGCTGCTAATAGTTTTTACGATCTCAGCAATATATGTTATGTTTGTAGGGTCTCGAAGATGTGTGCCAATTTTAACTATTTCCTTTGCAGAACTCTGCAAGTTATAGCAAACCAGATTATTCAGTTGTATTAGAATATTTCACTAATTGCTGTAAGATTTATCCGAAGGTCGGAGGCTCCGCACAGACTTTAATCTGTTGCTGAATATGAAGTGTACGAAGAGTGATCCATATTGTTTCTTTAGAATCTTTATTTCATTGTATTGATATTGGCTTCAACTAAGGCATTTTCTAAAAAAGTATGGGTATAGTATGGTAATAGTCCATTTTTTTCAGATTAATCAGTTGGTTTTTAAGAATTGGGTTTTGGTGCGGAAGTAGCCGGAGTTCCTACATTATCCTAGGTGAGATGGCGCTCTCTTCCATATGACATTTTCCATTCAGCATTCTCTTAGATTATTTAAGTAATTAAGCTTTTCGAAGGGTTGAAATATTTTTTGGTGAGATTACGTTCGGAACTGTCTTAAAAGTTTAATAACAAACATATGTAATGCAATTGGTCAAAGTGTCTGTTGATTGGAATAGCAGTGCTTTCACCTAATAATAATTCACTGACACCTTACCATCTTATGCTACGAAATTTTCGCCATCGCCAAGGTCCACATACTTTTCAGAAACTTTTTTCTTTCAACCAACTGTAAACAACGGCTCATCGCTTAACCTAAAAAAATATTAGCCTTTCTTTTTAATTAAATGTAGACAAGATGGAATCAGACGTTCGTACAATTTTCAAATTATTTACTCCAATATTGACTTAGAGGATTTTCTGGTAATGCGTTATGTAATACGTCTTTTAAGAGGATCTCAAAGATAATCATTTCAAAATCAAATTTGATCCGGACTGGTCCATATAAACTGAATGGATAAAAAAAAGTTTCCTAGAATGCTGCAACTTTTTTATACCATGGCAAACAATTTGCTTGAAATTTTGTATTCCCAACGGAAGCATGGCTCGGGAATCATTGAAAATGTTGGGTGGCACAAAGCATTCAGTGAAGGTAGTGAAGTCATCGAAAACTTGCCTCAGCGAATCGTTTATCTAGCCCTGTTAATGACGAGTAAAGAAACATGGCTTGAAAACCGTCATGTTGGCATTAGATAGATAGCAGAGGCTCTCAAAAAATCTTATGAATCGATTCCTTACAGTTGGTTAATGTCTTGGATATGAAGTGTGTCAAGGCTAAATTCGTACAAAGAGAATGAACCTGAATCTCTTGCAAAACC